ATTTTTTGGTTGGAGTTGTCATTGTTTGGCAGGCCCGGGCCAGGTTCAAACCCACCAGCTCTTGTGTATGTGGCTGGCACCCTAGCCACTGAGCTACAGTTGCCAAGCCTTTTTATGCATTTTCTAATTGAGTTGTTTGTTTCCTTATTATTGGGTTTTGAGAGTTCCTTATGTATTCTGGATATATCTATAAATCCTTTATCATATATATGATTTACAAAGATTTTCTCCCGTTATTTGGCTTATCTTTTTATTCTCATAACAGTATCTTTTGAATAGTAAAAGCTCTTAAAGTTCAGTTTATCACTTTTTCCTTTAATGGATCCTCTTTTCAGTATCTAAGAAATCATTGTGAAACATGAAAGTTTTGTTTTATTCTAGAAATTTTATAGTTTTTGGCTTTTACATTTGTATATCAATTGTACACAAACTCTTCCAGGAACTTTAAGAGAAGGAAAAACTTCCAGACTCATTGTATAAGGCCAGCCTTACCCTAATTCCAAAACCAGACAAAAACATGAGAAGAGAAACCTACCATCAATATCCTTCATAAACACAGATGCAAAAATTCTAATTAAAACTTTAGCCATTTAAATCCAACAATTTATGAAAACAATGGTGCTTGCTGGTTTTCCTAAGTTTGTAGACTCATCACTCCAGGCTCTGCCTGATCTTCAGAGCACCTACTCTTAGATGCCTGATGTCTAATTTCCCTCTGCCTCAATCCTAAAAGTACATCTGCTGTTGATTTAGGGTAGACTCTAAATTTGGGGTCAATAACATCCATAAAGACTTTTTTCCAAGTTAGGTCACATTCACAGACTCTGGGAATTAGGACTTACTGTGTTTCCCTGAAAATAAGATCTACCCAAAAATAAGCCCTAGCAGGATTTCTATGCATTTGTTAAATATAAGCCTATCCCGATAATAAGACCTAGTGATGGGCATGGCTATGCAGCGCCCATACATTTTAGTGTGGAGACATCTCCTGGAAATAAGCCCTAGTGTGTCTTTTTGAGAAAAAATAAATATAAGACAGTGTCTTATTTTCAGGGAAACACGGTAGATATTTCTTTTGGAGGGCTAGTAGTGAACATCTGGGAATAAAGGCTTTTATTTTCTTCCTTTCTGATTTATATATTATTGTTTTTGCCTTACTCTACTGGCCAGGACCTGCAATGTAATCATTACTTTTTCTTAAAGGACAAGGTCTTGGGCGGTGCCTATGGCTCTGAGTAGGGCACAGTCCCATATACCAAGGGTGGCAGGTTCAAACCCAGCCCTGGCCAAACTGTAACAAAAAAATAGCTGGGCATTGTGGCAGGCGCCTGTAGTCCCAGCTACTTGGGAGACTAAGGCAAGAGTATTGCCTAAGCCCAAGAGCTGGAGGTTGCTGTGAGCTGTGACGCAATGGCACTCTACAGAGGGCAACAAAGTGAGACTCTGTCTCTTAAAAAAAAAAAGAGAGAGAGACAGGGTCTTGCTCTGTTACCCAGACTAAAGTGTAATGATGCAATCATAGCTCACTTTAACTTCTATCTTCTGGGCTTAAGCAATCCTCCTGTCCTTATCTCTCAAGTAGCTAAGACTACAGACATGCACCATCGTACCTGGTCAATTTTTTTAATTTTACTTTATTTATTTACTTATTTAGCCAGGGCCAGGTTTGAACCCACCACCTCTGGCATATGGGGCCAGCGCCCTACTCATTGAGCCATAGGCATGGCCTATTTTACTTTTATTTTTGTAGAGACAGGGTCTCACTCTGTTGCCCAAGCTGGTCTTGAACTCTTGGCCTCAAATGATCATCCCACTTCAGTCTCCCAAAATGCTAGGATTGTAGGTATAAGCCACCATGCCTAGTCTGCAGTGTTATTATTAAATAGCAGTGAGTTTGAGCATCCATGGATTGAGTGAATAATAATAAAACTGAACTGATGCTCCCAAAATAAAATAGGTCAGTACTTTAGTTGAGATAGGGACAAGGAAAAGCTACAATGGCTATATACAGAGTGGAATCTAAAGTTCTGGAGATACCTAATGTTCAATGTAACAATAGGTAATTGGAGAATGATGAAATATAAAAATGACATTTTTCCATTTATACTTTTGACTGAGCAATCTTGGATGTCCATTTTTTTCATCCAAGGGAAATGATGATATAGGAAAGAGTATATTTAATTGCTGTACTTGGATGAGAAAGTTTGAAATCAAGGAGATACATTCATAAATGTGTTCTAATTTGGGGAAATTATTATTATATTTAGCTGTTGTCCTTGCTGTCGTTTGTAATATCTACTTTTATTATCTTCTTGAACCCAGTGGTTAATTCTACAGTTATTCAAAACATCCTATGTGTATTAGAGATTGTTATTGGATGGCAGGAATTGAAACAGATAGTATCTATACTTATGGAATTGGAGGCGTAAGAAAATGTACAGAACAAGAAATGAAAAAATTAGTGAACATATAATTGAGAAAGTCCACATAACTGAGTATTAGAACATGGACTGGAGGCCAAGCTCAGTGGCTCACGCCTGTATTCTTAGCATGCTAGGAGGCTGAGGTGGGTAGATTGCCTGAGCTCATAGGTTCCAGACTGAGCGAGACTGCGTATCTAAAAATAGCTGGGTGTTGTGGTGAGTGCAGGTAGTCCTAGCTACTTGGAAACCTGAGGCAAGAGAATCACTTGAGACCAAGAGTTTGATATTGCTGTGAACTGTGACAGCACAGCACTCTACCGAGGGCGACAAAATGAGACGCTGTCTCAAAAAAAAAGAAAAAAGAAAAAAAGGACTTGGACTGACTTAAATATTGTCAGCTGGGATACCATTCTGACAAAACAACATATACCCTGAGACCTTAAGGGTGAAAAGGAGCCGGCCATACTAAGAACCAGTCAGAGGACTCCTGGGAGAGGAAGTAGCATATAAAATTCCTTAAGATTCAGTAAAGTTTGTGGCATTTTATAGGATCTGAAAGCATTCTTTGTGGTAGACTATTGAAAACAAAGAGGACAGTACCTCACACAAATCTTACAGACAAGTGCTTTTTATCCATTGTACTCTTTGTACTTTATTCTAAGGAAAAGAGACATTTTTAGGAAGAGAATTAGGTACAGATTATGAGAATGATTTGCATCAAAATCATTGATAAAAATGGTCAAAAATGCACAGATCTAAGATTTTGCCCCTATAGATTTTGATTAAGTTTGTCTGGTTTGGTGCCTATATTTGATTTGGAGCAGTATATGTAAGAAACTCCTCTAAATCCATCCTAAATATGAGGACTACTGATTTAACCTATTCCCCTACTCACCTACTGTACCCTTTTAAAAAGTCACATCATTTTCTGATATCTTTTCACTTTCTTTCAAATTTCATAACAATAGGTTGGGCATGGTGGCTCACACCTGTAATCCTAGCACTCTAGGAGGGTGAGGCAGGTGGATTGCTTGAGCTTGAGAGTTCTAGACTGGCCTAAGCAAAAGCAAGATCCTATCTCTTCTAAAAATAGAAAAACTGAGGCAAGAAGATCACTTGAGTCCAAGAGTTGGAGGTTGCTGTGAGCTATAACACTGCGGCACTCTACCTACGGTGACAGCTTGAGACTCTGTCTCAAAAAAAAATTTTTTTTTATAACAATAATTTAGAGTTCTCTAAGCCAGGAGCCAGCAAACTACAACCCTTGCACCAAATAGCTCACTGCCTGTTTTTGCATGGCTCATGGCTCATATGAGTTATAACTGTCTTTTACTATTTTTTTTTTTTTTGAGACAGAGTCTCATTCTCTTGTCCTGGGTAGAGTGCTATAGAGTCATAGCTCATAGTAGCCTCAAACTCCTGGTCTTGAGCAATCCTCTTGCCTTAGCCTCCCAAGTAGCTGGGACTCACAGGCATCCACCACAATGCCTGGCTAGTTTTTCTATCTTTAGTAGAGACAAAGTCTGATCTCAAGCATTCTGCCCACTCAGCCTCACAAAGTGCTACGATTACAGGTGTGAGCCACCACAACCAGCGGGTTTTTACTTTTTTTTTTTTTTTTAAAGACAGAGTCTTAACTATGTTGCCCTTGGTAGAATGCCATGGTGTCACAGCTCACAGCAACCTCAAACTCCTGGGCTTAAGCAATTCTCTTGCCTCAGTCTCCCAAGTAGCTGGGACTACAGGTGTCTGCCACAACGCTGGGCCATTTTTTGGTTGTAGTTGTCATTGTTTGGCAGGCCCAGGCTGGGTTTGAACCCACCAGCTCCACTGTATGTGGCTGGTGCCCTAGCCACTGAGCTATGGGTGCCGAGCTGGGTTTTTACATTTTAATGGTTGAAAATTCAAAAGTAGAATAATATTTTGTGTCATGTAAAAATTTTTTGTTCAAATCTCAGTATATGTAAACAAAATGTTGTTATAACAGTCATGCTCATTCAATTACATATTGTGTATGGTTGCATTTGTGGTATAACAGCAGAGCTGAATAATTGTGACACAGACCACATGCCCTATAAGACCTAAAATATTTATTATACTATCTAGTCCTTTACATAAAAGATTTGTTGACCCCTGATCTAAATCTTTCACTTCTATTTTTTAAAAACTTTTATTTTATTTTATTTATTTATTTATTTATTTATTTATTTTGAGACAGAGCCTCAAGCTGTAGCCCTGAGTAGAGTGCTGTGCCATCACAGCTCACAGCAACTTCCAACTCCTAGGCTTAAGCAATACTCTTGCCTCAGCCTCCCAAGTAGCTAGGCCTACAGGCTTCCACCACAACTGGCTATTTTTTTATTATAGTTGTCATTGTTGTTTGGCAGGCCCGGGCTGGATTCAAACCCACCAGCTCTGGTGTATATGGCAGGTGCCTTAGCTGCTTGAGCTACAGGGGCTGAACCAAAGTCCTTTACTTCTACTATGTATTATTTCAGTTTGTCTACTATAAGATGGAACCTCCACATCCCACATAAAAATAACATTACAGTATTTGTTTGCTTTTTTTTTTTTAATTTTGCAGATTTGGAGTGCAAGTATGCCACCAAGAATTTATTTCCGGAAAAGGATGTTTATGAAATACATTTATCTCAACTGCAGACAGCAGAAAAATGTAACACCTACATCCATGAGGACACCATTTTCAGAAATGATTTGCAATACAAACATGAATTTGAGAGACAAGAGGAAAATCAGATGAGATGTGTTAGTCAAATGATAATTCAAGAACCAGTATCTCTTCCACTACATGAGGAAATTCATACTAGCGAGAAATTATATGATTGTAAGGAATGTAGGAAGGCCTTTAGACAACAGTCATACCTTATTCAACATCTGAGAATTCATACTGGTGAGAGACCCTATAAATGTGTGGAATGTGGAAAGGCCTTTTATCGGGTGGGGGATCTCAGAGTACATCAGACGATCCATGCTGGGGAAAGACCTTATGAATGTAAAGAATGTGGGAAGGCCTTCAGACTTCATTATCACCTTACTGAACATCAGAGAATACATTCTGGTGTAAAACCCTATGAGTGTAAGGAATGTGGAAAAACCTTTAGCCGAGTTAGAGACCTTAGAGTACATCAGACAATTCATGCAGGGGAGAGACCTTTTGAATGTAAAGAATGTGGGAAGGCCTTTAGACTTCATTATCAGCTTACTGAACATCTAAGAATTCATACTGGTGAGAGGCCTTATGAATGCAAGGTTTGTGGAAAGACCTTTAGGGTGCAACGACATATTAGTCAACATCAGAGAATTCATACTGGTGTAAAACCCTATAAATGTAATGAATGTGGAAAGTCCTTTAGTCATGGCTCATACCTTCTTCAACATCAGAAAATTCATGCTGGTGATAAACCCTATGAATGTAAAGAATGCGGTAAGTCCTTTAGTTTTCATGCAGAACTTATTCGACATCATAGAATTCATACTGGTGAGAAACCCTATGAATGTAAAGAATGTGGAAAGGCCTTTCGCCTTCAAACAGAACTTACTAGGCATCATAGAACTCACACTGGTGAGAAACCCTATGAATGTAAAGAATGTGGGAAGGCTTTTATTTGTGGATATCACCTTACTTTGCATCTAAGAACTCATACCGGTGAGATTCCCTACGAATGTAAGGAATGTGGAAAAACCTTCAGTAGTCGTTATCATCTTACTCAACACTACAGAATCCATACTGGTGAGAAACCCCACACATGCCATGAATGTGGGAAAGCCTTTCGTCTCCAAGCAGAACTCACCCGACATCACAGAATTCATACTTGTGAGAAACCCTACGAATGTAAGGAATGTGGAAAGACTTTTATTCGTAGCAACCAACTTATTTCACATCAGCGAATTCACACCAATGAGAATACCTATGAATGTAAAGAATGTGGGAAGATTTTTAGTCGGCGCTATAATCTTACTCAACATTATAAAATTCACACTGGTGAAAAGCCCTATAAATGTAAAGAATGTGGAAAGGCCTTTCGTTTTCAAACAGAACTTACTCAGCATCACAGAATTCATACTGGTGATAAACCCTATCAATGTAAGGAATGTGGGAAAGCCTTTATTCGTAGCAATCATCTTACTCAACATCACAGAATTCATACTGGCGAGAAACCCTATGAATGTAAGGAATGTGGGAAGACCTTTAGTCGTCACTATCATCTTACTCAACATCACAGAATCCATACTGGTGAGAAACCCTATGTATGTAATGAATGTGGGAATGCTTTTATTTGTAGTTATCAACTGACCTTACATCAAAGAATTCACACTGGTGAGATTCCTTACAAATGTAAGGAATGTGGAAAGACTTTTAGTCGTCGGTATCATCTTACTCAACATTTTAGGCTCCATACTGGTGAGAAACCTTATGGGTGTAAAGAATGTGGGAATACCTTTCGTCTTCAAGCAGAACTTACTCGTCATCACACAGTTCATACTGGTGAGAAACCCTATAAATGTCAAGAATGTGGGAAGGCCTTCAGTGTTAATTCAGAACTTACTCGGCATCACAGAATTCATACTGGTGAAAAACCCTATAAGTGTAAAGAATGTGGGAAAGCCTTTATTCGTAGTGATCAACTTACTTTACATCAGAGAAATCATATTAATGAGGAAACCCTATGCATAATGTAAAAGAATACAATGGCTTTTTGAAATGCCTTTTATAATAACAGAGAATTCATAATTTAAAACAATTTTTATTTGTTAGGGAACATGTGCAAATCCCTTTTGCTTCATTCTCACAGTTCAACAGAAATGGCATTACATCTTAATTCAAAGAATTGAAAAAGTGTAGCATCACTCAATAGTGGTTAAACTTTAGCAGTTGATACTGGTGCAGTGCATGTCAAACCATCAAGGACTTTTTTCTTCTGCAAACTGGTGTTAAACATTGCTTCTGTAAAATGCAGTAATATTGGATTACCACAAAAATGAAATGGAAGGAAAAACAGACACACAAAAGCCCTAGTTGAATTTAACTGAAGTAAATTAGCTTTCTCAAATCACTGTAAAAGTTTCATAATACTTTGCTTTCATTGTCTGTACCTTAACTCCTTGCTGTCCAAAGCAAACAATTTGTGGACCAGTGTCAGCACATGGACCACACTTTATACAGCACTGTAACAGAAAAAAATGATTCTATTAATATAATGAGTGTGGGAGAGACTAGAGCCATGACATATCCATTTTTTTTTAATCTCACTCCATCACCCTGGGTAAAGTGCCAGGGCGTCATAGCTCACAGCAACCTCAAACTCCAGGGTTCAAGCACTCTTCTTGCACAGCCTCCTGAGTAGTTAGGACTACAGGCACCCTTTTAGTAGAGACAGGATATTGCTTTTGCTCAGGCTGGTCTCAAACTCCTGAGCTCAAGTGATCACCTGCCTCAGCCTCCCAGAGTGCTAGGATTACAGGTGTGAGCCACTGTGCCCAGCCTTCATGGCACATCTTTGCAGTAACTCTCATGTTTCCATCTGTGCCCTTGTACTTCGCAATATCCTTCTCTGTGCCTTGGTTTTAAAATTGTAATAATAATACCTTCTTCATAGTAATTTTGTGATGAAATGCTGATACAAAATAAAACCTTTAGAAGAGTATTTGACACACAGGATGTACTCAATAAATATTTTTATCACTAGTGGTACCATTCGTAAATTCATGTGAAAGGAAGACCTTGTGGATGTAAGGAGTTTGTAAAAAACATCTATTACCTTTCATACTTTACCTACATTTGGATAAATAATTGTGGATAAAGTCCAATAAAATAAACTCCCTCTTCTAAAATCAGAATTCATCTCTGAAAATTCATGTGAGAAAGAAATCTCTATATATGATGAGTATGAAGATTCTAAGAGTGAAGATTATATGACAGCTTTTGAAGAATCATGGTGAGCGGTAACACTTTTTGTAATCCAAAAAGCAGATCCATCACAGTCTGCTTTTCCTGCCCACAACTCATGATGTTAGAAACTAATAATCAAAAGACCATTGTCCATTTAGAAAACTTAAAAGAACAGTACAATGAACACTGGTATATTCACTCTAGATTCAGCAATTTTTTTTTTTTTTGAGTCATTGTCTTAAGCTGTTGCCCTGAGTAGAGTACCATGGCATCATAGCTGGTGATCCAACTCCTGGGATCAAGAGATCCTTTTGGTTCAGTTTTTTATTTTAGAAAGACTTGCTTTTGCTCAGGCTAGTCTTAAACCGGTGAGCTCAAGCAAGCCACCTGCCTTGGGCCCTAGAGTGCTAGGATGACCGACAGGAGCCACTGGGCCTGACCAGCAATTATTAATATATTGTCATACTTAGTTTGCCTCTATGTAAGATTTACATATTTTTTACTGTAGTATTTGTGTAAAAATTGTACACACCATGATGTTACCTCTCCTAATAATAAAGGCTGCCTTCTACTCAATTACTATATAGCTTCACACCTAAGTAGATTAATAATAATTCCATAATCTGTAATCAGTCCTTTTTTTCTTAATTGTGTGAATGATGATTTTCATGGTTATTTTTTAAAATTCAGGAATGAAAATAAGTTCATAAATTGCATTTGGTTATGCATTTAGTCTCTTTTTAAACAAAGAACACCCTTACTCCCACAATCCTCCAGCAACTTTCTTTCAACATTGACTTTTTAAGAGTTCAGAATAGTTGTCTTGTAGAATGTCACATTCTGGATTTTTATCATTGTTTTTTTCAAAGCATTTTTATTATTTTATTTCATTTTTTATTAAATCATAACTATACATTTATGGGGTATAATGTGATATTTGATATACAATATGGAATGCTTAAATCAAACTCATTAACATAACTATCACTTCACTTATTTTTTGTGGTAAGACATTTATAATTTAGTCTAAGCTATTTTGAAGGGTATCCTTGCATTGTGCACATTAGGCGGTCAAAGTTTGTTTTGTTTGTTTGTTTTTGTTTTTGAGACAGAGTCTCACTGTGTTGCCCTGGGTAGAGTCCCATGGTGTCACAGCTCACAGCAACCTCAAACTCTTGGGCTTAAGCAATTCTCTTGTCTCAGCCTCCCAAGTGGCTGGGACTACAGGTGCCCACCACAATGGCCAGCTATTTTTTTGTTGCAGTTTTCATTGTTGTTTCAGTTGGCCAGGGCTGAATTTGAACCACCAGAGTTGGTACATATGGCTGGCACCGAGCCCATTCATAGTATGTGTACCTTTATCCCCAGTAATTCCTGTGAACTGGAAATTAGGAGTAGAGAGCCAATTAAGTAGCGATTAAATATTTTGGCAAGATTACTCAAAAGGAGATATTGTATTTTAATTTTTAACCCATCAGATGGCATATAATGTCATAACACTTTCTTACTCTACATTCATTCACTTGGTGTAGCAGAATGTGCTTTCCAAAGATGGTCATACCAGAATATCCCATTGTACATGTTCAGCTTACAATGTAATATTGACTCATGCTCATGAAGAGATAAGGATCATGGTCCTTCCTTTTCAATCTGGGCAGGCAGACCTAAGTTTATGGCAGAAGTAACACTATGTGATTTCCAAGACTAAGTCATAAAAGGCAATACAGCTTTTGCCTAACCCACTCGGGACACTTATGAAGCCCAACTACCATGCTATGAAGATGTCAAGTAACCACACAGAAAAGCTAAGTAAACTTGTCTGACAACAGCCCTAGTTTAGGTTCCAGTAACAGCCAGCATCAAGTACTGAGAGTGTGAGGGTATGAGCCTTCAGGTGATTCTAATCCTTAGCTTCAAGGCATCTCAGCTGGTGCCAAGTGGAGATAAGCTTTCCTGCATGAGACTGCCAAATTACAGATTCCTGAGTAAAATTGCTTTAAGCCACTAAATTTGGAAGCAGTTTGTTACCACGGGGTAGCTGAAATATTTCTTTAGTATGGTAATCACCAGGTTTCTCTATTATAAAGTTAAATATTTTGGGCGGCACCTGTGGCTCAAAAGGGTAGGGTGCCGGTCCCATATGCCGGAGGTGGTGGGTTCAAACCCAGCCTGGGCCAAAAAAAAAAAGAAACCCAAAAGTTAAATATTTCTTTCAATTTAGTAAGCAATCTTTAGAGTAGTACTTTGGCAACTTGGAAATTTAAGATCACCAATAATAGTATAACACTAAAGGGAAAATTAAATGATAAGGGACATTTAGAAATGAATGATAATGATATCTTGCCTTGTGATGTGGCCAAACCGTTTTACTACCAAGCTGTCACCCTGGGTAGAGTGCTGTGGCATCACAGCTCACAGCAAGCTCAGACTCTTGGGCTTAAGTGATTCTCTTGCCTCAGCCTCCCAAGTAGCTGGGACTACACCCAACCGCCAAAACACCTGGCTGTTTTTTGGTTGTAGTTGTCATTGTTGTTTGGCAGGCCCAGGCTAGATTTAAACCCGCCAGCTCCAGTGTATGTGGCTGGCACCCTGGCTGCTTAAGCCACAGGCACTGAGCCGTAAAACATCTTTTTTTATTGTAAAACAAAAATGGGCAATATAAAACTAGTGGAATATTTGACATTGTATTTGAGAAACTAATGCATCAATATCTGGTTTGATGGAAGTAGTTGTAATTCTCAGTGAGTTCTCAGGTGCTTATTAGATATTTTGGTTCTAATTTTACTCTTAACATGCTTCATTCCTAAAAATAGCTGCTCGTCAAAAAGTGATGACATGGGCTCAGTGCCTGTGGCTCAAGTGGCTAAGGCGCCAGCCACATACACCTAAGGTGGCGGGTTCGAATCCAGCCCAGGCCCGCCAAACAACAATGACGGCTGCAACCAAAAAAAAAATATCCTGGTGTTGTGGCGGGGGGGGGTGCCTGTGGTCCCAGCTACTTGGGAGG